TGTGTGTCTGTGTGTGTGTCTGTGTGTCTGTGTGTGTGTGTGTGTCTGTGTGTGTGTCTGTGTGATTAAAATAAAGCATATATAAAAATAAAGATTAGTAATGTTGAGGGAAGGAACAGGCCTTCTGCAGTAAGAATAATAACTAAAGTGCTAGCTACTGGTCAGCATATATAGGAGGTACCATGTTTTAATCCACTAGTTTAACATAATCTTATTCTGTAGCATATGTCAGTCAGATTCTGTGTCCTTCCCTTTTAGTAAATCTTGTCTCATTTTTTCTCAGGGACAAGAATTCCCTTAGCTACATACTCTGCCCTGTATTTATGAGTCTTGTCATGTTGTGTGGGCAGAGCACCATGCTTCTGCTGGGTTTCACACAGATGTGTGAAGCCCAGGCCTCCTCCTCTGTCTTGCATCCCTGCTTCATCCGGGACTCCATTTCTTATCTTTAGCCTTTTCTTTCTTAGCTTTCCTCTTCAGTCTTTAAAGCTATTAAACTGTGGGGAGAGGGAAATCGGAGAGATACCTCAGCAGGTACAGGTGCCTGCCTCAGGCCCGGTGACCTGACTTTGATCGCTAGGCCCCAAGGACAGAAGGAGAAAAATAACTCCTGCCAAGTGTCCTCGGATTTCCACTCTGTACTGTTATGTGTGCACACAAACATGCATGCACATGCACTAAATATAAGTAAACGTTTGAAAACTCTTAGGGTTACTCAGTCTGAGAGGCTGGAGAGATGACTCAGCATTTAAAGACTCTTTCAGAGGACTGGAATTTGGTTCCTACACCCTACAAGGTGGCTCACAGTCCTCTGTGACGGCAGTTCCGGGGAATTGGCGCCCTCTTCTGGCCTCCTTAGGCACTGCAAGCGTATGACGCACAAACTCAGACACATCATACACATAAAACATAAATCTTTTTTAAATTGCTCCCCTTACTTTCTGTGCTCTAGAGCAGTGGTTCCCAAACTTTCTAATGCTGCAGCCCTTTTATATAGCTCATGTTATGGTGACCCCAACCATAAAATTATTTTCATTGCTACTTCACAACTGACTTTTCTACTGTTATGAATCATGATGTAAATATCTGTGTTTTTGGTAGTCTTTGGTGAACTCTGTGAAATGGTCTTCTGACCCCCACATGTTGAGAATCAGTGCCCTAGAATATTGATTTTTTTCCTTCTTTTCCCTCTAACCCCCCATCAGAGTGTAGTGTCGTTTGTGTCCCTCCCTCCCTGGAGTTACAGTGCAGTGGCCTGCGATTTTCTTTGCCACTGAGATCCCCCTAAGCGTTTGTACTGTGTTTGGCACACTGAGTGCTTGTTTGTTTTTTCTTCATCATGGCCGTTCTCTCCCATGTATCCCTGCGCCTTCGTTTCTTTGGTTTGAATGTGGCTCCTTTCCTAGTGAGCCATCAGCATTCTCCTGGGAGTCAGGGGTGGACCTAATGACTTTGTTCTCAGAAGCAAAATGTGGCCAAACTAATCGAACAACTTCTGCAATTTAAACAGGCAGCTTTATACCTTGCTAGCTTTCTCTCCCTGGCTCTTGTCAGTGTCTCAGATGAAGTGTGCTCAGAAATAAATGCCTTGGTGGCAGTTAATGGGGGCTTTTCTGCCAGCCTCTAGAGAGGGCGGCATCCTCATTCCCACAGCACCAAACACCGGCTGGGCTCCATCGCCCATCTCCATGCTAAGCCCTTCCTCCCCTGAACCTCAGGCGCTGCAGCAGAACTCACACTACCTTTATTTTTAGTTTAAAGTACATCTTTCTAAAGAAAAAACCAAAACAGCAGTTGAATAGTGAAGCTGTAGAGCTCACAATATGAGTTTGAGCTTCACACGATTGTTCATCTGATGTTCAGTTATTAGAGAACTGCAGCAGCCATCCATATGCTCTTGATACGGCTCTCACTATTCTTAGCTAATGACCAGTTTTTAGTATGATTATATTGAAGGATGAGGCTAAAATACACTAAAGCTGCAGTTATGCCTGATGATCTATTAGCAGGTGCATTTAACTTCATCCCGTTAGTTTGACTTAATTGAAATTTTAAAATTGGTATCAGAATTTCCATTTGAATTTTAGTTATTTTCTGGCTTTCATTTCTCTTCTTTGTCGTGGCAGGAGCTAACAAATGCTAGAATGTCGACTTGAGCCAATATGAAGGAGTATGAAATGAGTACAGATGGATTATATACGCTCACTCATATATTTTAAGGAAATTCTAATTATTTTCACTAAGAAGGAAAAATGTATAGTACAATACATAATCATACAAAATGGTCTCTTAACTCCTGTGGCATACAGTGTGTATTTAACTTTTTAATTTAAGATCGTATAGTCATATTTGTTAAGTCATTTGCAGTTTTAAGCTATTTGGGGAATAGAAATCACTTTCATTTTAGTCACAATATTTTTATGTTTTATTGACAGCTTTTACCGTTTTGTTCTGGAACCAGAACTGATGTCAGGGGCTAACAGTAGTCCTTCTGATGGACCAGTGGCAAAATTCCTGGACATCCCAGAATCTCACCTTCTAACTCTCAACATGATTACCCCAGAAGGATGGTTGGTTGAAACAGTACGGAGCAACTGTGACCTTGATAATATTAATTTAAAAGATGTAAGTTATTATGGGAAGTCATGCAAAGAGAAAGGGATAGGATTATTGAATCTATGTCTATTAAAACTGTAGTCAGTGAGCAATCACACATGGAAACCAAATTTTTCATGTAACTCTAGGCCTCAGTGTGGTCTTCTTCCTTGATTTTTATGTTTACCTTGCTTCCAGAATCAACCCCCCCATTTCCAGGTTCATGAATTAATGAGGGCCTTTAGGGGCACAGCTGCTACAGCGAGTGACAGGGACTTGGGGTGTCTGAGGGCAGTTCAGACCAGCTGCTACAGCGAGTGACAGGGACTTGGGGTGTCTGAGGGCGGACTCTGTCACGTGTGTGCTGCGCTAGTCACATCTCTGTATTGTTCTGTCTCTGTCCTAACCCTAACCCTGCCCACATTCTACTTCCTCCTAGTTTCTTCTCCTCCAGCCAAAAAATTCTACTTTTACAGGAGGCTTGGAGCAATAAAAAAAATTATGAGAGTTAACTTTCATTGGTCAAGGGTAAGCAATAAGTAGCTGAGCCATTTACCATGGCACCTAAGGTTTCAAAGCTAAAGGCTGTGATCAGAGCCTGGTGGCACAGTAACCACTTGGCAAGTGAAGAACTGGCATGCTTTTCTTAGGGTGCTTTGTGTAGAAACCTTGTTTGGACACCTGCGGCTCTGACCTTGTGCATAGCTGTAAAGTTTTAAACTTACAATCTATTTACAAAAAGCCTTTAGTTTGAACTTGCTCTGAGGTAAAAATGAGCTAATCATGTGTAGTTTGCCTTGGACTGAGGAGAAATTTGTTATTTTCTGATTTTAGTCTAAGTAAAAAGGAACAAAGCAGCTTTTAAGTGCCTCGCAGTCCCAGTGGGACAAAGATCTAGTTAGGAAGCAGGTCCTAGTGTGTTTTCTATGTATCAAAATGACACAGATCAATGAAGAGTCATCTTCCTAGTCATCAACAGATATGTGTGCCCAGTGGATGGAATGTTTTCATTAGATGGACACACAAGCAGTGGGAATATACCAAAGCTGTTCTTAGAGAAGAAGTGAAGTGTCACAAGACAGAAATCACAGATACAGGAAACTGGTTTTCAGAGTTGGTGGTCCTATAAGCCTTGCTAGACAGGATTATCTCCATCAGAGTCTGGTGGGTCGGCATCTGAATTATCGGTCATCATATGCTGTATTCTTCCACAGCCTCTGACAGTAAATGCTCTCACCATTTTCACTGCCATATACCACTATCTCAGAAGGACTGAGGTAAACCGTGTGGGAAGTCTGGAGATGCACGTATGACAGCTGAGACTGATGGTGCTGAGTACCTACTTTGCTTGGCATTTTAACTTGTAGAAGTTTCATTTAGAACACATTTTGAGGTACCTGGCTCATAGCTAACAAAATGGGCCTTAATAAAATAAAGATAGAAAGCAGGGAACAGAATTTGGTGGCCTATATAGGCTTGACACACCTGTTTCCCATCACTTGCAATGTAGCTTCTGGCTAGTAAACAGTAAGACCTCCTTTTCTCACCTTGGTCACTGTCCATGGATGAGAAGCAGTGGAGCAGAGAAGTATGAAGAGAAAGGTTCAGAGAAAAAATTTGGGAAGTAAAATCCCTGTTGTCTTCATGATCAGTGAGATCACTTAACAGGAACTACTGGGGTCTCATAAACAGAATAAATAATGTGTATTATTAAGATCACTTTAAAGATCCCAACCAAAAACTGTACAGTTTTCAGTTGGACAATTAATAGCTGAGAAATAAAAGTGCTGCTTGCTGGTACCATCTTGTCATTCTTAGACACTGAGTGCAGGCTAACCAAACACTTTTTGTTACTGAGCAGCAAATCTCATGATCTCTTTAAAACTAGGTAGGTGAGGGGCCAGCAGCTGTAACTGTACAGTTAGAAAACATGGTCCTTGTGTCTTCCCAGATGCAGCAAATACGATGGCTCTTTAGAAACTCTAGCACCCATAACAGTTGCTTGCCTTCCTGACTCTGTTTCCCATTGTGTAATGTAGTTAGAATTTAAAGTATCTGTGACAATCCCACAGTTTTTCAAGTAATGTATAGAGTCATTTACTGGAGCAGAAAGGAGATTTAGGTAGAGAGCAGAAATAAGAAAATGAGCTGAACATGGGTGAACACTTGTAATCTCAGCGTTTTGAAGACTGTGGAAGGAAGATGAGTTGAAGCTCCCAGCCAGCCTACATAACACGTGATTCATAAGTGACTGGAGTACTTGTGGATAAACCTTTATAAAGTGGGAAATTACCAATACAGAGTCAGGTAGAAATATAAGGGTATTTAATAGGGAAAAAGCCTTACTTACAGAGCGACCTAGCCAGCCGGCGTGGCAGCAGTATGTACAGCTGTACAAGCCGAAAATGAAACTGAACGTGCCCAGCCACCTGACCACCTCTCACTCTATGTCACCCTGACCACGCCCTTGCAGGCGTGGTCAGACACACCTGTAGCCAGCCCCTAAGTAGGTATGGCTACAGATTCCCCTACAATTCCCCTTTTAGTCTAAAAGAGGATTAAGACTTAACAGTGTAAAGTATCCAAAATTAACAATCATAAAGGTGAAATATAAGAAGATACAACAATCTGCTTATGTCACATCCTAACTATCTATTTTAACTAAACCCTAAAGTCATCTGAAAGAGGTGTCCAAGCCTGAACACCTCCTTCCAATCCCAACCATAAACAATAGGAAGCTATCCCTAACTAGGTATATACACTGTCCTAAGTGACAAAAATCGGGGAAGGGGGCTTAGCATTCTCCAAGTTACTTCCTGCTGAAATGGAATGATGATAGTCACGTGGGGTCCTGTAGGAAGAAAATGTTAGTATAGTGAAAGTCTTGAATGGATTGTATCCAGTCCATGTTAGATGGGATTCACTTGATTGAAGATCTTGCTTGAAATCCTCAACTTGATTGAAGTCAGTACCCGAAGCTCTGGCCGGAATGTCAGTTGAAATGGAGCAAGTTGGATCAAGTGCAGTCGAGGAGGTGTGGCCCATTTTCTTTACGGGGTGTCCAGGGATTGCTGTCAGGCAGGTCTTCATTGGCTGTGTGGGACTCAAACATAAACAGTTAGCAGAGAAATGTTTGCTTGTGATGTACACATGCTGGGGAATGCAACCATGAGAGCATAACAATTATGAGAGGGTGTACACCTTGATATCTACCCATGCAGTGTCTTTTGCCTTCTGAAGATGAGTTTTCCTGTGAAGATAAAAGCAAAACACTTCCCTTTCCTTTGGGAGGCTTCTATTTAGTTTATAAGATATACCTTAGTAGAATACCTGTCATTTGTCCTTGTCGAGAGGTTTTTCCTTTTCCAGTCGAATCTTGATCAACTTTGATGGTATCCAAAGTGTTTCTTCTCCTGTAGAAACCAATGCAAAACCCCTACCCCAACGTAATACATGTCCTGGTTTCCATGCAGAGGTTAGTACATCTTTGAAGTATACTGGCTGATTGAGTTCAGCAGTTTTTTCCGTGGTCCAGTGTCTTTCTGCAGCTGTTTGTCCTTTTTCATTGGCATTAAGAAAGTTTAGTGTTAATAAAGCATTATGCAACCTATGTTTGGGGGGTTTAGTCTTCCAAGCTTGTTTGTTGAGCATCTCCTTAAGTGTTCTATTAGATCTCTCAACCACTGCTTGTCCTGTAGGATTGTGTGGTATACCAGTAATATGCTTTATGTTATAATATTTGAAAAATTGTTCCAATTTCGTAGAGACATATGCTGGAGCATTGTCAGTTTTTATTTGTGCAGGTATACCCATAACTGCCATCACCTCTAGCAGGTGTATAATAACAGAATCAGCTTTTTCAGAGTTAAGAGCAGTAGCCCATTGGAACCCTGAGAATGTGTCTATGGTATGATGCACATATTTCAAATTTCCAAACTCTGCAAAGTTGAAAGACATCCATCTGCCAAACCTCATTTCTCCGAATGCCCTTAGGATTACAACCTGCTGGCAATGGAGTTTGATTATAAAAGGAACAAGTAGGACAGTTTTTCACTATCTCCTTGGCTTGTTGCCAAGTGATAGAGAAGTCCTGTTTTAAACCTTTGTTATTTACATGATGTTTTTTATGAAATTCTGAGGCTTCTAGCACACTTCCAATTAATAAACGATCAATCTCATCATTGCCTTGTGCTAGTGGGCCAGGCAGACCCGTATGGGATCTGATATGTGTAATATACATAGGATTACTTCTGTTTCTGATAGTTTCCTGTAATTGTAAAAACAGAGAAGTTAATTCTGTATTATCAGGAACAAATTCTGCAGTCTCAATATGTAACACGACTCTCTCTGCATACTGAGAATCAGTAACTATATTAAGAGGTTCTGTAAAATCCTTAAGTACCATGAGAATTGCATATAATTCTGCCTTCTGTACAGATGTATATGAACTTTGAACTTTTTTACTTATCTCACCTGCTTTATAACCTGCCTTACCTGATTTGTTGGCATCAGTGTAGAAGGTAAGAACTCCAGAAATGGGAGTTTGTCTTACAATACGTGGAAGAATCCAGACTGTCTTTTTTATGAATTTAATTCTGTCAGTTTTGGGATAGTTGTTGCTAATTGTTCCCAAAAAGTCAGTAAGAGCTATTTGCCAATATTCATTATCTTTCCATAAGGAAGAAATTTCTTCATTAGTTAAAGGTACTATAATTTCTGCTGGATCTTTTCCAGTCAGCTGGAAAAGTCGTAATTTACCCTTTAAAATCAAATCAGAAATCTTTTCTATATATGTCTTTAACTTTTTATTCTGTTTATGTGGCAGAAATATCCATTCCAATATAGTGTCTTCCCTCTGCATCAGAATTCCAGAAGGGTATTCTCTGGATGGCAAGATAACCAGAATACAGTCTAAATTAAGGTTTATCCGATCTACATGTGCATTCAATATTCTGTTTTCTACCCATTGTAACTCTTTTTCTGCCTCATCAGATAATATTCTAGGACTGTTTAGGTCCTTATCACCTTTA